GGGTCCATGGGATATGCCTTGTTGAGATCCGTGTAGTCCACGCACATGCGGAATGAGGGCGGTTTCTGTGCGAGGACTACGTTCGCCAACCAGGAGGGGTATTTCACCTCCTTGATGTGCTTGATAGAAAGAAGCATGGCGACCTCTTTCTTCACAAATTCCCTTCTCTCGGTCGAGAGGGGTCTCCTTCGCTGTTGTACTGGTTTTGCCGAGGGGTCCACCGAGAGGCGGTGGGTGATGACCCTTCGGCTTATTCCCGGCATGTCCTCCGGCCCCCATGCAAAGACAGTGGAGTAGGCGCGGAGGGCGTCGGTGATACCAGTCTTCAGATCTTCAGGGAGCTGGGCCCCAATCTTCACGACTCTCTCCGGTTTGGCCGGATCGAGCGCAAAGTCTTCTACGTCCTCGGCTGGTTCAGCCCTCGGCCTCTTTTCTTCTTCGTTGATGGTTCCGGTGATGGTGTCAACACGGAATTCCGTCTTACTTACTTTCTTCGTGACTTGAAGATAGCAAGCGCGGGCAATTTTCCGATTCCCCCGGGAGTAGCCAATGCCTCCCTCGGCGGGGAACTTGAGGCAGAGGTGCCTCATGGAGATGACGGCCTCGAGGTCCTCGAGGGCTGGCCGGCCGAGGATGATGTTATGGGCGCAGTCGATGTTGACGACGACGAACTCCACTTCGAGTTGTGCCCTATGGAGCCCGTCGCCGAAGATTACCGGGAGGGTTATTACCCCCTCGGAATCAATAGTATCGCCGGTGAAGCCGGACAGAGGGGTCTTAATGGGTCGAAGGGACCCCCTCTCCAGGTGCAGCTCTCTAAAGGCGCTGAGGTACATTACATTGACGGAGCTGCCCGTGTCAATGTAAGTTCGGTGAATAATGGTGTCGTTTATTTCGGTCCGAATCACCAAGGCATTCCTGTGAGGAGAAGAAGTAGGAGGGAGATCTACGTTGTTGAAGGTGATGGGTTCCTCCCTCAGCCGCTTTACCGGGGGCATATGAGTGACTTCCCCCACGTAAAGCGATTGAGCCCACTTTTTCCGCTGGCTGGTGGAATCGCCCCCTGTATTGCCACCGGTGATCATGAGGATGTGGCGTTTCTTCTCCTGGTAGTGGGGGTACTCCTCCTCTTCCTCCTCCAAGTTTCCGATCTCCCTCTTCTTGCCGAGGGGGATGGTGTTCTGGTTCACCAAAGCGTTCACCTTCGTGTGGTGCCCTCGGGGAGGTCCCTGATGAGAAGGTCCCTCCTGCCGAGGGCTCTGGATAAATTGGGACAAATGCCCTGCTTGTATCAATCTCTCGATGGCCGTCTTTAGCTGGTGGCAGTCATCGGTTTTGTGCCCCTGATGCCGATGGAAACGACAGTAGGGGAACTGAGGGTTGATAGCATGTACCTCCGGGGGTGCGCGAGAATCGCGCTCAACGAGGCCCCTCTCCTCGGCAAAATCAAGGATGATGCTGACGGGGTGCGTCAATGGTGTCCGGGGGCGGTCCAGGAGAATGGTCTGTGCCCAAGTATTAGGGCTGCTCTTATAACCTCCCCCGAGCTTGGCTTGGCCTTGCCGAGGGCGGTCATCAGATGGTCCCGAAGCCTTGGGGTGATTTGGAGGAGCCCCCGGCCCCCGGTTATTCTTGTTGTCAGCCCTCGGGGGTTGCTGATCTGGATGCTCGTGGTATTTCTTCACCTCCTCGGCCTCAGCGTATCGGTCCCCCCGCTGCAGGGCCCTTATGTAATCGCGGGGGGGTTCAATGATGAGGCTCCTTGATAAGTTGCCGGTGCGGAGGACGGTTTGTAGGAGGGCCAGGAGGGTCCCGTCGTCAGCACCGTCGACTTTGTCGGCTTCCGTTCTCCAGCGCTCCAGGAAGTCCCGAAGGGTCTCATCCCTCCTTTGGCGTATGGTTAGGAGGTGGGAGAAGTGCTTCCTCGTGCGACGCCTCCCGGCAAATTGCGTCAAGAATCGCTGGGCGAGTTCTTGCCACGAATCAATGCAGCCTTCGGGCAACCGGTTGAACCATTCGTATGCCGGCCCCTCTAAGGTGGAGAGGAACCAACGACACAAATATTCGTCCGACGCCCCTACCATCATCATGTTGTTCTGATATTTGTTGTAATGCTCCTGGGGGTCCGTCTTCCCGTTGTAGGGCTGTATGTGTTGCCCTCGGTATTTTTCCGGGATCCGGGCCGCCAATACCCTTGGGGTAAATGGCGTCCGGGTCCGGAGCTGGATGATGGGTTCCCCGGAGCCCTCGGCTACCTTCTTCTGCAATTCCTCCATTTTGGCCATCATGGCCTCGTATTTGAGGTCTGAATGAGGGGTGGAGGTGGTGGCGTGAGCTTTGTTGGCCTCCATTTCATCAAGCCGACGTTGGAGGGCCGCAATAATTTCGTCCTGGGAGTCCTTCGGGAGGGTCTCCGTCCCCTGCGAACGAACCCGGGCCGAGTGGGCCTGGTTGATTTGGTGACGAGCATCGTTGGCATGAAGGGGTGCCTTGCCTTTGTCCCGAAGGGGACGCTCCTCGTCTGCCCTCGAGACAGACCCTCCGCTTTCCTGGGGCCTTTGAAGTGCTTTTCCTCCGAGGCGGTCTTGGACCCCTCGGCGGTCTTGCCCCCCTCCGAGCCGGTTAAGGGCGGAAGTGCGGGGCCTTTCTCTGTTGTCATTGTGGCGGTCCCGGGACTGAACTTCCTGGGAGGCCGTATCTTGGGCCATTACCCCTTCGTCATTCCCAATCCGAGGGATGGGATTTCCGAAGGGGTGTGGCAGAGGGGGAAGCATGATGTTCTCCCCAACCTGGGGTGGAGCTGGAGCCAGGGTGCCGAAGGCACCCGGGTTCTGAGTTAGCGTCTGGATGAAGGCGGAGAGCGCCGAATGAACGTCGATGGTGAGAACCAGAGGGCTGACTTGGTCATCGCTCCGGTTTTTCTTCTTGGCCTCGATGCCGAGGCGGGCATCGGGGGCATTTTGCTGGATCTGAAGGCGTAGGTCGACAGCCGCCTGTTCCAACCCAGCGATGACACCGCCCTCAGGAGCCCTGTGAGAGGCTTCAGGGGCGTTGACGTCGCCGAGGGCCAGGTTCTTGTCTTCTACATTTTTGGAGTTGGCACGTGTTGTTCTCACCATTTTGGTAGAGGGCTAATGTTTGGCGAAGGGGGAGGGTTTCTTACTTGATCGTTCGAGCTCTCAACGAGAGCACCAAATGATGGATAGTGTACCCGGGGGTAGCTTATCCGAGGGGTTATTACGGGGAGTAATAAGAGGGAAGTCAAAGCAAGTAAATATAGAGAGAGAAAGTATATTATAAGTGTGGAGCGTTTTCAGTGTGGTTACAAATGGGGAAATGGGGTGTTATTTATAGTAGCAATAAATGCCGGACAGGGACACGTGTCAAGCGTCCATTGGCCGAGAGGTCACCTCAACTGGTTGGCGCTGGCAGCCGCATGTGGCCGCATTTAATGCGGCTGTTGGATGGGACGTTGTACAGGGTACGGTGATCTGTACGCATGTGGCGCGGATATTATGTCGGGAGAGGTGCCCTCGGCTGCAGAGGACTAGCCGAGGGCTCTGAGTGCCGGGGACCCCCTGGGTGCCGAGGGCTCCAGGTGCCGAGGGCTACTGTTTTCTGCCGTTTTTTCAGTTTCTTAGTTTGCTTGAGAAACCCGTTCTGCGAGAGTTTAGAGCCTTCGGCCAGGGGGCCGAAGGCACCCCTGGTGCGCATTGCGGGCTGCTTGGTACTTCGGGCGCTGTGATTTGGGCCTGTTGGGCCTTCTGGGCCTGTTGGACCTTTACTGGAGTAGTAGGAGTCTGTGGGCCGGGTGTTCCCGGGCCATATACTCCATCAATGGGTACGTCATGTTATAATTTAACTATTCTTCACATATCTGAATACATCATAAATGTTTAACGTCATATTAAATACTTATGCATTTACGGGGGCAACTGTGGTGTCTTTATTATCAAATTTGCTGAGTTTCTCATGATGGACAAAGATGTGAGTGAAGTTTCGAAGCAAGACATAGAGATGTACTGACAAAAGATGACGACAGAGCTACTGATGTATGCATCACGAAGGCAGTAGTTGGACTAGATGATTTGTAATAAATATTTTGTTGGGAACAAAAATATTTCTGAAATTTCTTTGTTTTGGTCATTAAGTATTGTTACTAAGTATTCAAGACAGTTGGTTTGACTATGTGTAATCTACATTTTTAGCAACATATGTGATGCTTGTTCGCTTTTAGCCTGTGTTTAATGTGAAGCTGTTTTGCGAAATCTGGTTAAAGTGTTTCATAAAGTCCATAATTGGACAGTAATTAGTCATTAATATCTGAGTTCAAGACATTAAAACTTCAAGTCATATACGTTACATTTCAATGACATTTATTTTCTGAGTATTTGATTTCTCAAACATCTTACTCAAGAATATTCTTCATGATGTCTCATAATACCATCCAGCTATGAAGATTGTTGAACATGTGAGGAAGAAGCTTACAATAACACAATAGTGAACTTCCTTGGTGTTATTGTTCACTTATGTGTGTAACTAATTTTAGTGTCCATGCAAAAGTAAGGTCTGTGATAGTTGATTCATACTAGTAAAGAAGAAAGACAAACCGCAAGATATAATTACAGATGTCACTTTTAAAGATTCACTAACAAAGAGTGTAATTACGATCTTCGTGTAGACATTACATAGTACATAGGTAGACAATAATTTTCATCACAGCAGCAACTTGGTTGCATTTTAACAATCAATAAAGTCAGTATGAATAACAAAAGAACATAAAACTATGAAGCACGGACTGGGATAGGATTTCTGCAAGACTTCTTATTGTGGCCGCCTTTCTTACACCGTGTACACCGCTGCCTGGAACCAAACTCTCCATTTGAAGGAATACGCTTCTTCTTAGGTCTACCCGGTTGGCGTGTGAGGCATGTAGGTGGCTTGCAAATTTAAGATGCCACAGAAGCAGGAACACCCCAATCACAACGAGAACCAAGAGGGTGAACTTCGCCTATATAAGCAGCAACCCACTCACGTGTGAAATAAAACTTTGAGATGTAATCATAGCACGATAAACCTCGACGATGACCTACAACTGCAACTCCATGTACACATATAAAGTGATCGAGTTGAAATTCACAACATGAGCATGTTTTGTCTTTCAAATTAACAACAAAGCTTCTAGATGTTTTGTCAACCACTTCAAATTCATATTGACTAGCAGGATTGACCTAAAACAAGGAAAAAAATGCTAACATTAGTTACACTTAAAACATTAGTGTAGAAAGATGATGATAACAAAAAGATAACAATGCAATAAAAGGCAGAAGGTAAGAACGAAGTTGAGACTTACACTCATAAAGGCTGCCTCGGCATGATAAGAACGAAGTTGAGATTCAAAATGGGCAGACATAATTGTTTTACAGCTTGATGAAGAATCATGACGTTCACAAAACCATTTTTGCATCCTTCACCGCAAGAAGTCTATCAGTTTTGCTATAGGATACTCACGAGGCACACGGTCCACTGAATTCAATAACTCGACATTGTTAGATGTCATTATAGAATACCTAGAACGAGTAGCAAAACAGCGAGCCCATTTCTCAACACCTATTTCATTCAAATAATAACGGATACGGGGATCTTCTGCATCTAATAAAGCCATATACTCTACAAATTGAGTAGGAGTGGCAGCCCTAGCAGATTGATTAAACTTCCATGCAAGACCTGTAGTAGACCCCTTGAACTTTAATCTAATTCTTCCTAGGATATGGTACGCACAGTAACCGTGTTCAGCATGCGGAAACACCACTTTTGTTGCATGTATAATACCATCGTGACGATATGAAACAATATACAAGTCCTCCCTATATGCAAGACACTCCTTTAGTTTCATAAAAAACCAAGTCCATGTTTTCCTTCGCTCAGTATCACACACACCAAAAGCCAAAGGGAAAATCTTGTTGTTAGAATCTTGAGCACATGCAGTCAATAGAGTACCCTTGTAATACGCTTTCATAAATGAGCCATCAATTATAAGAACCGGAACACAATGCTTCCAGCCTTGAATCCATGCATCCAACGACATGAAGAAAGACTTGAACCGATTATGTGCCCCAACATTCAACAAAATCAATGAACCAGGATGTTTCTTTCTAAGAACATAAGCAATGGAGGGTAACAATTGATATGATTGCTCATCTGAACCCATCAACTTTTCTTGAGCTTTCTTGTTTGCAAGCCAAGCTTTCTTGTAAGGTATAGTCAAACCATAATCTCTATTTAAATCAACAATTATATCTTTCGGAGCATAAGGTTTTCTAGATGCATCCGCATATCTGTGTTTGATGAGTTCAACAATAATTTCTGTGGTAGCTTGTCGGTGGGGACCTTGTCTCACATCAAGTGAGCATGTATGCACAGAATCAAATCTGGAAATTGTACAACGGTAAGTAGTCATTAAAAAGACAATGATTAGACAAAAAGTTAAAAATAGTACAAAATCAGATTGTAAATGTTCAGTTGAGTAACAAATGAATAAATTACCTTCTTATTTGAAACATTTGACATCCACTCAATCTCACTGCACGTACAGCCCAATCACAATTCTCATCATCAACACAAACAACATGCAAGACTTTTCTAGTTGATGTCCTTGCTTGATATTGGAAAAGATTTAAAATGGCATACATCTTCAAATGATGGGCTAATGATTTCTTATCCTGGTAGATATCATCTATAGCAATACGAGTAGGATGAAAGTGACAGATTACATGAATATCTTGAAAATCATGAAAATAGTCTAAATCAAAGTATTCATTAACAACAAGATCTTCACTGCGTGAAGATGTAGGTGAAGAAACTGCATTGCTAGAACCAGAAATGTGTGTAGGTAATGGATTTGTATCACAACATATTGAATTGAGTTATCAGCATTCGTAGCATACATATCCAAAGATATATCTTCAGTTTGAGGAGAAGAAATATCAAATGTGTGATGATGCATGATAGAAGGAAGTGTCTTCAAGATCATCAAATTCACCATTTACAGCCACATTTAAATCAAATGCAAGAAGTTGTGAAGAGAAGTGGGAAGTAGTAGACAGAGAGAGTGGAAACAACTCAACACACAAAGGATACTTGGCATAAACAGGTTGTGATTTTTAAGAGCAAAAATAAAAGCACAAACTGTAATCATCATTAACAACCACTTGAGGAGGACATTCTTCAACCAAATAAGTAATTTTGATCTGTTCATTCGCAGCAAAAGCACCAATGCATAAATAGACCAAAGCAATAAAAAGAATATACAATGTCTCATCTGGAGCTATGAGACCACAAGTTCTTTTATTACAGAAAACGTGGGAATCATTCCAACTTCCATCCACCTTTAGCATAAGCAACATTTTAATCTGAAAAAAACAGAGAAAAAAATTCAAATACAAAGTTCATCACATAATACAGTCATGTGAATATGTAACCGTGTGATTAGAAAATAGATCCATATATAATATATTTATGTCTGAATAAATAAATGCAAAAACAAATACTACCTCCGTCCCTTAAAACTTTGTCAATGTTGACCGGCACGGAGAATAATAAAGTAAAAACTGTGTGGTTGAGGTTTGTGCAGAGGAGAGAGAAATAACAGAAACCACAAAATAATTGATTAAAAGGTAAAGTGACAAAGTTTTATGGGACGTCCCAAAAAAGAAAGATGACAAAGTTTCAAGGGACGGATGGAGTAATAACACAAGCAACAACAAAATAGTAATAACTTGTAAGTGAAAGGTATAAGAACAAAACACAAACCTAAATTAAAGTCAGACTTATAAGAACAAAAACAGTAAACTAATCAACATATTGAAGATCAAAAGCTATTGATGCAGAAGAATGTCGAAGTACAACATACAAAAGTCATGAAACAAAGACAAAAAAATTCAAAGTGCTGTAGAGATAATTTCAGAGAAATATAATGTGAGATTATGAAGGAAATTTAATGACAGAAGTCATAAACAAACTAAAACTCCAAGATAGCGAACTAAAAAATGTAATCAGAATGAACGATCAACGAATTCTGATGAAACTTAATCGGAATTCGCAGCGGAAAATTCGCAGCAGGAACGATCAAGGAATTATGATGAAACTTACTAGGAATTTTGTAGAAAACGATTACTCATGGATAGAATGAAGATTATGACCCGAAATTGATGGAAACCGAGTTCGAATTTCTGATGCAAGGTAGACGGTGGCGGTTAATTCGGAATTGAAGAACGAGCTTCACTTGAAGAGGGAGCTTGACTTGAAGAACGAACAAAGTAGCTTGCGGTTAATTCGTTAGCGGGACAAATAAAAAGGAATATAAGCAAGAGGATATTTTAAGCAACTTAATTGTAAGTTTCCTAAATTAGGAGTGATTTAGGTATACGAAAGTAATAAATGTAATTTGGTCCTATTTTGGTCAAAAGTGTATGAAAGGGTCTTATTATGGACAAATTTCTCATACAATTATTGAAAAAAACTTTATAAAAGTGAAAAGAAGAATAACTATTTAAAAACAACCCAAAATGATATAAGACACGAGGACACAGAGAGAGTATTTATCGCGAAAAATGCGTTGTGTACACCAAATGTGTACAACTCCGTTGATTTATCGTCTATAGTATTTCAAACCTTTTGTTTTTGAAAGGGAACATTTCAAACCTTAGAAATGCACAGTACATAAAAAATTTCAAACAACAACGAACACATTAAAAAGGTTGTACCTGCGTGAAGCTATTAGGTGCACTTGGGCAGTTGGGCCCTAATAAGCGTCTTAACTTCCAACCACCCCTCACTAGTTTTGATTTTACAAATTTTAAACGCGTTATAGTGCTGAACTGTTGACTGCTGAGCTGTAGCATATCTTTTTATTAACGTCCATCAATTGCTGCATTTAATTTTCAAGTGGTGGCCAGTAATCAGTATTGCTCCACATTCCTCTTTCCTTTATTCCTTTATCAATTCTTAAATAATAAGTATCTTAATTTGATTACTTTTGAATTAATTTCACTTTTGTCACTAATATACACCGTTTGTGGCCACTTTTGCTGTAAAAATCCAAGTCCTCTATTTCCTTTTTGTCTTTACAAATATCGATAATCGATTCCGCTACCAAAAGACTTGGTCCTGAAGATACTCCTTTTATTCACATCACCTAAAGTCAAACCGTCCAAAGATTACGGCGAAGAAAACGCGTACGCAACGGGCAATACGTGTCAACCAGTAACGGCGTTCTAAACGGGTCGGATCGGGTAAGTTATAGGCCACTATCAAACACCCAACTCATTCCTCTCGAAAATTCAAGTGATTTTTGTTATTTTTGCCACAAAAAATGAGTATGATTACTATTAATTGTCCATAATGCCCCTTCGATCGCAAGTGGTTAGGTGCAAATTCTATCTACAAAGGGAAAATTTCATTATCCCCGTCAACATCTAAATTGCATCTGTTTTGCTTCACCGGAGTAATATAGCCGCAGCCGGAATAATCATCGGCGGGAAACTCTTCACCGGAAGTGCAAATTTTCCACGTAGCACTGCCAGTCCATTAACCTGCAAAATGAATGACAAAACTCATTGTTCATCTGTTTTCGACATCTTCGAGAGCCGGCTTGGCCTAGGCTGGAAATCGGACCGGCGCCTCTGCTGATGCGACGAAGGTCGAATCAGAGCCGCCAAAGCTCGCTTCACGAGATCTCCTTCCACAGTACCGATGCGCACGAGCGAGTTGGTCATGGCGGACCTTCGAGCATTCAGCCGGCTGGGGAAGTACGACGCCTGCGCCGTGTTGTTCACCTTCTTGTGCAAACTACACCGAAACGATCCTGGATGCGTCGTCGGAGCACACAAACACGTCTTCTTCGGCAGATTCGACAGCGTATTTCCACCATTCTGCTTGTGGAACACCTGATCACGCGACGAAATCGCCATAGACCGGTGCGGCGAGAGAGATCTGCCTATTGAGAACCGCACAGACGGAACAGGAGCAAGAGGCGCGAAGCCGTGAAGGCTCACACGCGTCGGAGAAGTCGACCGGTGCAAGAAACCCGTATTTGTTGACCGGTTCATAAAACCGTTCGCCGGAGACGAACAAAAGCTTGAGCTAGTCGACGAAGCGAACCCCGTCTTGTCTCCGATACCGGCGGCCGAAGAGAATCGGCCCGACGGCGGCGAGAGAGAGTGTTGAAAACACGACCGGATCGGTAAAACCGGTCCGTTCGATTTTTTTGAAGACGCCGCCATTTTTCGTACAGAAAATTGAATCGAAAACTAATCTGTTGATTCAGATCATTTATGAGAGGGGCCTGCGGCTCTTCAGTTTGGCAAACTTAGCACTTCTGAAAGCCTGAATATATAGGGGGGTGAAGAAGGTGGCTGGATCGTAATTAGACGAAGTGTAGGGGTATTTGAGGAAACGCACAATACCCTTGTTAAAGTAACTGGAGTTGGTTGGTTGGAGAGTTGGAGAAAGTTCGAGATTGTAATCCAACGGCTGGAAAAAGACAAGGGTACAAAGTAACGGATTACGGAACCGTCTTGTTGAGGCAACCGACTTGAAATATCTCCCATGCTCTTTGACTTTTACGTATTTCGCAAACGCTTCTATTTTAAGTTTCTCAAATTAAGAAAAAATCTGTTTTAGGCAATTAGATGTGTGATTACTATATCGATCCATATTCGATGCATGACTACTAATTGTGTTCACCATCTCCAGTTAAGTCGTCTAAATTTTATGGTTAAGTCGTCCAAATGTTGTCCATAGAGTTTCTCATTTTTAATCTTACAATTATTTTGTTACCACATTTTTCTAGACTTTGACATTTATGATTTTATGATATTTTTATCTGGTTTGATATGCTATGATCAGATCTGTTCAAATCTAATGTGGTTGGCTTGATATACGGATATTTGGTCTATATGTAATCATTCCGGTCCTTATTAAACTTTACACTTTAACTTCACACATATTAAGGAAATAAATTTGACTTTACTGTAGAGTACACTGTTTGGCACTGTTTGACACTGTTTGGCACTGCTTGACACTATTTTGCACTGTTTGGTGTAGATTTTGTTTGCCAAATAAGGTAAATAAGGAAGTGTAAAGTTTAATATGGGACGATCCAAAAAGGAAAGTGTAAAGTTAATTAAGGACCGGAAGGAGTATTTTTTTTACTACTCCCTTCGTCCCATAATACTTAGCCAATGTTGACTTGCACGTAGATTAATAAAATAAAAACTGTGTGGTTAATATTGGTGCAGAGGAGAGAGAAATAACTTTAGTCACATATTTGTTACTTTAAATGGAAATGGCAAAGTATTTTGGGACGGCCAAAAAAGGAAAGTTAGCCAAGTATTATGGGACGGAAGTAGTATTGAAATCCGATCTGATCTGATTTGGTTTGTTTTGATATGGTCGTTTCAGATCCATTGTGATCTTTTCTGGGGACTGCAACCTATTCAATTAAGAGAAAATTGTTCAATATAGGACTAAAACTCAACCTTTTTCTCAAAATAGGACCACATGCATGTTTTTCTCTAAATAGGACTAACCTTACCTTTTTTACCCCTAATTCTATTTAATCAATTGATTGATCTAAATAATTGCCCCCCTAGTTTCCTTGCACAACCAAGGCAGTCTGGAGGTGGCGGCAGCTCGGCGGCAGCGGAAGAGGCGGTTTCCGGTGGTGGCGGCGGCAGTGGCGGCGGTTTCCGATAGACAATAAGTAGACAATAAATAAACAATAAATTCTGATAAACACCATTGCGGCGGCGGAGAACTACGGCGGTTGCGGAGGCGGCGGCAGCAGATTCTGGCAGTCTGCCAGATATTTTTTTTTAATTTTCCGGCGGTGCTCCGGCGGGGGGCAGCGGAGGAGGCGGCGGCAGAATCTGGGAGTCTGCCAAACATTTTTGGAATTTTCCGGCGGTGCTCCGGCGGCGGTGGCCGGAGCTCTGGCGGAAGGCGGCTGGCCGGAGGTCGAGGGGCAGCAGTGGGGGTATTTTGGTCCAATCACACATAAAAAGTCCTATTTAAGAATGTTTAAACTAATTGGTCCTATTTTGGGAAAAAAGTCATGTTTTGGTACTATTTAGGTAAATCTCCCTTCAATTAAAAACGTCATTAGTTCTTCGGACATTGTAAGATGCATGACTTTTGATGCTTATCTTTGAATTTTCTCAAAGACAATTACTAAAAGTGAATATGTAATAACCTCGCTACTTTTGTCATTTTATGTGTCTAAGTTATAGATATTTGGGAGAACCATCAAATAAGCTTTCGAACTTTCATACAAAGTGTAAATAGATCCTTTTACAGGAGGCTTTGTCCGACTGTCACCATTTAGGGAGGTTTTCGGTGGAATTTTTTGATGATATTTTTTGAGCATCTTCTTCATTAAGTCTTGTTTACTCATACCAAATTTCAGTTAAAAATTCAATCGAGAAGGCGTTCAAATAATTATTTGAAATATACTGCGCAGCCTAACTGCACAGTTATCTTCACAAATGCATTTGAATGTCTTCCCGATTGACTTTTTAGCTGAAATTTGGTATGAGTAAACTAGACTTAGTGTAGAATCTCAAAAAATTTCATCAAAAAATTACACCGGAAACCGCCCCAAATGGCGACGGCCGGACAGAGTCTCCTATAAAAGGGCTTATTTGCACTTTTTATGAAAGTTCGATGACTAATTTGGTAGTTCTTCTTAGATATTTTGGAGTGGAGAAATCAAATTTGTATTTTTCACTTATTTACCTCTTGGTTGCACTAAATCTCACAAGTAAATGTGGAACTTCTTACACAGAATTAAGTTGTCATGTTATCCATTTCTTCATGTACAAATTAAAACTACTTTCTACCATAGTACGTAACTTTTTACTCCGTCCATCTTCAGTGGCGGATCCAGGATACAAAATTATTGAGGGCGGGGTAAACAAAAAATGCATCAAAAAAATTAATAAAGTATTAATGTAATAGTACAATAATTTTAACAAAATACATCACACTTGTTCGCGCCCAGTTTTAATCTTTTGGAAAAGATTCATTACAATTTCATTTGTAACAGTTTCAAATTTCAATAAAAGTTTTAACAAAATATATCACAATTAACTTTTGTAATACATTAATACATTTTATTTAACTACCTAAAGTAACATATTATTTATATTTAGTGTTTCTAACATATTAAATGCCATTTTGTAATTTATAATTTCTAAGTGTAAAATATTACATTAATAGATGGGTAACTATTTCGGAAACACACCAATTGAATTTAATCTAATTGATCTTTCTAAAATATTAAATCTGATTCATTTAAATAAATAACCCTATAATAAATTTTTAACATTATTATCAGTTTAGTAATACTATTTAGGAAGTTTTTACTTGGATTGTTTTCAATCCCAGACCAGATCAGACCTGACTAAATAGACCAGACCAGACTTAAACAGACCAGATCGGACTTAAATATACCATACCAGACTTTACTTGTGTAGTTATAAAATAAACAAAGACCGAAAATTTACCAGACCAGATCATAATTAAAACAGACTAGACCAGTAAATTGCAGTCCAAGTAAAAACATCTTTAATATTTATATTAGGGAAAAGGGACAAATAAGCCCACGTACTAATAAAAAAAGGTCAAATAAGTCCTTATTTAGAAGACTCTGTCCGACCGTCAAGATTTGGGGTGGTTTCCGGTGGAAGTTTTTGATGAAATTTTTTGAGCATCTTATTCATTGAGTCTAGTTTTCTCATACCAAATTTTATCTAACAATTCAATCGAGAAGACATTCAAATGAATTCTTGAAGATAACTGTGTTTTTAACTGCACAATTATCTTCAAGAATTCATGTGAATGTCTTCGCGATGGAAGTTTTAGCTGAAATTTGGTATGCATAAACTAGACTGAATGAATAAGATGCTAAAAAAAATTCATCAGATAATTCCTTTGGGAACCGCCCCAAATGAGGACAACCAGACAGAGCCTCCTAAATAAGGACTTATTTGACCTTTTTTTGTTAGTACGTGGGCTTATTTGCCCATTTCCCCTTTATATTAAATACGAAAAGTAAACAATATATAAAGTCATAAAACAACTATACGGAGTACTAAACTAGAAAAGGGGCAACTACTTCTTTTTATTGGGAGCAATTCATTTTGTTTATTGGGAGCAACTACTTCTTTTTATTGGGGGCAATTACTTGGACCTTTAATTTTAATTGAAAACTTACAAAGGGTTAGTGGGATCTTATTGGGGGCAGCTGCCCCCCCCCCCCCCCCCCCCCTCATATGTAAGTAGATCCGCCCCTGTCCATCTTCATGTATGTATACCAGGCATGCTATTTGAAATGTTTTGAATATTACCCGCACGGGTAACTCAATTGGTCGAGTGGTGGGAAATTTGGATCAATGGATCAATATTCGAATCCCCGCAGCGACCGGGTGAAGGTCACAGAACCTGAAATAAGACTGAGCCTCTAGTGCGCACGGGTGTATGGATCTACTGTCATTCTGCTGACTGAGTCACCGTGACTAATCTCCCATCATCCTGTCGGGTCGGGGTGCGGACTCATGGGGTGGGAGATCCCACCTTTGGATCAATGAAATGTTTTGAATATTTGACCACATGACAAAGCAGTGTAAATGTGCGTGGGAGGGGGGGGGGGGGGGGGGGGGGGCTTGCTCGTTTTTTGGCATGTAGTGTGTGATCGATCATAAGCACCTATGGATCGGAGTAAGTCATTTAGTCAAAGTGGCAATATTTTCTTAGGTAAAAGCATCACGGATTCTTCATGAAATTTGACTTCACATATGTGGACTTTATCCTTGTAAGTAGAGAAAGTAGAAGTTATTAGTATAACTTCAAAAAGTCAATGAACATTTAAGGTGTATAATGATTGTTAGTTTTATCAACGGTAGAAACATTTCGATTTTCTGTGTATAGGATTTATATTTTTGTAAATCAACGTCACATGTGACACATCTCATATTTCTTATTACGAGAGGACAATATTTTAGCACATTTCGAGCATAATATATTGAAAATTTAAAATATAGTACACTTCTACTCATGTAATGTCCTATTATTTACTCCTATACAACATATGTACGTGGCTAGCATGTCTTAGAGGTCCCATATACAGCTTCATCCCTCTTTCACAAATTTATCCTTTTGATTACTATTGCATGTGTCAGATATGTGAATATCCGCAAATGAGGTTAGTTAGACGTTTTTCCGAATAACATTTCATATGGACGTTTATTTAAAGTCTATTAATAATATAGATGTCAGCCAAAATACACTCTCCCCAA